CCCCGCCCCCGCCCCTCGGCCCCCGCTCTTTCCCCTGATACCGCGTGTTCGCTTGAGTAGATGGGAGGCATGACTGTGGATGAATGTGGAGGTGATTATAGACGGACACGTGGTTTGATGATCGATTGACACGTGGCTTGGTGATCTTGATATAGTCGTCGAGATCGATCATGTGACAATAGATAAGGTTTGGCTTCCTCCTCCTTACTTCTTTACCTCTTTGCCTTTTGGCTGCGTGCAAGTGGGTCCTTATGACACACGGGGATGGGGGCAACCGGCGCTCTGAAACCTGTCATCCACGTGGCCGGCCTTGTACGGAAGAGGTGATGAACAGGCGGAGCTTTCCTTCCTTCCTTCTTTCCTCTTTTGTTTTGTCTTTTTTCGCCTTTGCGCTCCGATACACGGTGTTGGCCCCTGTTCTGGTTTATTTGGCTGTTCCCTTCCTCTTTTCTTTGCCTCTTTGCCCTTTGGCTGTGTGCAAGTTGGTCGATATGACACACGGGGGTGGGGGCAGCCGCCGCTCAACCTACATCCACGTGGGCGACCTTGTACGCAAAAGAGGTTCTTTATGAACAGGGGGAGTCTTGTAAGGAAGAAGATTAAAAATAAAAACGAATTAAGTTTTTCTTGTTTTCCTTGTTTTTTTTTCTGTTTTTCGCTTTGGCGCTCTGATATCATGTGATAATATATACACGTCGATATGGATTTTTTAAAATAATTTTACGTAAATATAGACCGATGGTGGATTATTAAAAAAAAAAAAGAAAAAAAAAAAGCTTATGGTGACAATGAATCGACGGGTTAGCTATATGACATGACGTGAGGGATAGATCTAAATCGGTATGTAGATGGTGAACATGGATATATGATAAAAAGGGGTAATTTTATTGTTATTATTATTTTTTTTTTGCGGTTCACTCGTCTTTTATTAAATGTATGAATATATGAATTTATGAATATACGAGTATATGATCATACAAATTTTTGAGTATAGGAATATATCATATATGAATATATTTATGAGTATAGGAGTTATATGCTAGGCTACCTACCGTGTTGCCCGGGTCACCTTGTTTGCCCAGGCGGCCCGGCCGTGCAAGGGCTAAAGGTGGTCGCAGCAAAAAAAAAAAGAAAAAGGAAATCCGAAAAATCTGAAAAGGAACTATGTTATGCAGAAAAATAAACGGAACAACTTTTGCCTCTGGGTCACATCGAAATTCTTTACCGAATTTAAAATAAAAAAATTAAAACTATATCTATATACTAGGCTGCCAGCCAGGCCGCCCCGGGTTACCTGTTTTACCAATTTTAAAATAAAAATAAAAATTAGAAAGGGAAAATTTGTCTGGCGCCCTTGTAATTTCCATTATTTTGCGTCGCGCCCCTCCCACTGACGACCTACCCTGTAGGTGCCCCCGGGGGCCTCTGAACTTTCCTGCATGCCCCTGTCAGCAAGGGGTGCAGCTTTCCGCGGTGCCCCTTACTGGACGGCCAGCCCCATTTCACCGGTCCTTGCGCGCGATATGCCCTCATGAGCGGCATGCATCTTGCCGTTATGCCCTTGCGGTGGACATTCGGATTTGAAGCACGTCGTTTTTGTGGCGCTGCCGCAAAAAATGACTCTGTGTGTGTGTGTGTGTGTGTGTGTGTGTGTGAGAGAGAGAGAGAGAGAGAGAGAGAGAGAGAGAGAGAGAGAGAGAGAGAGAGAGAGANTGTGTGTGTGTGTGTGTGTGTGTGTGTGAGAGAGAGAGAGAGAGAGAGAGAGAGAGAGAGAGAGAGAGAGAGAGAGAGAGAGAGAGAGAGAAAAATGAAGTGGCTGCCATGCGCGTAGCCAGAGAGGTGCGCTGAAAAGATGCACGCTACCGGTAGGGGGGCATATGGAAAGTTTTGTGCTGGTACTCAACAGCTATCCGGTAGGGGCATACTGCAAATTTGGAACGGGTACCGGTAGGGGCATAACAAAAATATTTCAGGCCCAACCGACACCGGGGTTTTATGGGAAATTTGAATCGTATTCAGAGGGGCGCGACAGGGTAAATCAGGCGTGGGAGGGGCGCGACGCAAAATAATGGAAATGACAGGGGCGCCAGACAAATTTTCCCATTAAAAAAATATTTTTATTTTTTGAAATTTTTATTTTTCTTTGGGACCCGGCGGGGCAAGTGTTCCCGGGCTACTCTGGTAGCCTAAGAAAAAGGAAACAAATCCCATAAAGGGGAAAAAAGGAGGGTAATGATGTGCGAATCCCTAGTGCACTGAATATAAATATAAATGTGGGACTATATTACGTATGTATATTTCTTAGCGTACATATCTATATTATGTGTTGGAATTTATATCACTCTGCATGCACGTGGACGTTTTCAGGACCAGGTGCATCCAGACGAGTCCAGCATTTTGAGTGTTCGTGATTCCCAAAGCCTCCAATCCAAATTCATGTAGTGTGTTGTGTAGCTGAGCGAGGCCCGTAGTATGATACTGTCTATAAGTAGATGATACGAAGTAGATGATACTAAGTAGATGATACTGTCTATAAGTAGATGATACTAAGTAGATGATACTGTCTGTAAGTAGATGATACTAAGTAGATGATACTAAGTAGATGATACTATGTAGATGATGCTGTCTATAAGTAGATGACACTGTCTATAAGTAGATGATACTGTCTATAAGTAGATGTACTGTCTATAAGTAGATGATACTGATCACAGATGTGGACACATCAACGGTGATGATTGCGAATCCCCGAGTGGATGCGATAAAGATCAATGGGGTGGGGAATCTGTTCATCGATAGATGAAATAAAATAAAATAAAATAAAATAATGAAATAAGATTAATGAACGAGCAGACTCGTTTTAGCATCATCGATGCATTGAGGTGAGGACGAGTGTCATTACTTTTATAGCACATAAAAAAACAAAACAAAACAAAATACTCCTTTGACCAGGTAAGTTGGGATCTGATCAAGGTGAAGCGATTTGGACAAACGAAAATTCAATTGGACAATTATCAAACCGAATTGGTCAGTTCGATTTTCCTGTTTAGTACATTATCGGAACCGATTTGGACAGCCGATATAGGTTCGGCGAAGTATTGAGCATTTTGGACATATCAGATTTAGGTTGGGAAAAAAGGAAATTAAAAAAAGGTCGGGAGAAACGATGAGCATTTTGGACATACTGGATATAGGTTGGGGTAAATGATTACCATTTTGAACAAATCTAAATGATTTAACAGTCTGGACGCTTGACGGAGTTAGGCAGAGATTGGTTTAACAAATTAATAAATTATTAGTATAATTGCCCAAAACCACATCACATTTAGTTCAACAGTAGACCGATTTGAGATTCTGCGCACACCATCATCGGGACCAACAAAGATATCTTTTTTTTTTAATTTGTGGAATCGATTTTGCATGCTACCTTCTTCCCCCGAATACAACGTACGGTCATTATAGCTGTATTTAGACTGAAAGATACCCCAAATACAGCTGTACTGACCGTACGTTGTATTCGGGGGAAGAAGGTAGTCACACATGCGTCTGAATCACGGCCCTGCAGCTCCCGTAACCTATCGACCGAGGTGGACGTGCGCAGCACACACGTGAGTGACGCACGATATTTTCTGGCGGGCCCACCAATTTATGCGCTCGTCAGTCTAAATCGTTCCGTCCTTTGACGAAAGGCACAGTGGGTCTGTCCTAGTTTTTTCCAGAATACCTCCTGTCCATATCGATTCACAAGGTGTCCGATTTCTGATTTAAATCTACGGTTCCAAGACGCTTCTACAAATATCTAAAACG